ATTATTATTATTATTATTATGCAGGGATAATACTACCGATTGCACTTGAATTAATACACTCGTTGAATAATAACAAAAGACAGTCATCAGTTTCTGAAATGCATGATCATATGTATATGGAGAAATAAACGATGAAAATTAGCGACTAAATATTCAGTGTAAATGAAAGCTAGACAGGAAACAAATAATTGGTATATAATAGAATTAGAAAATATAAAATAACCAGTTGTAAAAGAGTTGATTTTTGCACTTGAACGAAATATGAATACGGTGTTAAAAACTGTGTAGTGAAATAGATAATCACGTCGCTTGAATATCATATTGTAATTTTGTTTGAAAACTGTCTAGTTCTGAACTAACGATTTTCAAAGCATTTAAGCGTCAGGAGCGTAGCTTCATTTTAGCTGAACGAATTCTCAATCTTCTAACATTACTTTCCATGAGCTAACTCTATACACTAATTGGTTTTATGTTTCTTCTCTTCGTGGCATTTTCGTTGTTTCTTGTTCAACGGTTATTAAGACATTTCTTTATTTCCTTTATTTTGGTTGTAACCATTTTCATTTCTAATATTATATGATCTTAGGCTTGCCGACGTGCTGAAGTGGTACCAGTCTTTTCAGTAGAATCTGAATGGAGTGACTTCGACACATGTAATAATGATAAACCTTTTCCATTCAATGACAAAGCATTTGAACACAAATCGTTTGTGGATTTAGATGCTCAGCCTCCAATTTTTAATGACAATACTGCAAAGAATATGTTTACTGAGGTTTCAACTGGTGATTTATGTAGAAAACGTTTAGTTCAAGATGCTGTCAATCAGCCTGTTCCTAATATGCTTTCAATAATTTCATGGGAACAACTTATTATTGTTGCATCATCTTTCATCACATTCGGTAGACCTGAAAAATTTGACAAATCTTCTCATCGACAAGCAACCGATATGAAATTCTACTCACCTATTGACTTTTTCCCATTACAAGTAGGTGTATTCGACTGAGTTAGTTAATTTTTCGTTTTCGTGCACATTATTATATGTTAGGTACAATTTCAACTGTTCCCTTCTGGAAGTTTTATTGCTCAAACTTGATCTCAGACGACCCATTGTATATGGAGTTCCTGGTTGTGCATTATGATAAAATTTAGCATATTGTATTTTATATTTAGTCTGGTGCTTAAATTTTTTAGAGAACTTGAATAGAAACTATACTGCTCATGATTATGTTGTTCTACTTACTTCTGAAATGATTCTTGACAAAATCGTATCCTTTTCTTAAAAACGTACATCTCTTTTACCCGAAATCTTATCTATCAAACTGCATGGATCATACTGATTCTGTTTTCTAAATTACTTAATCATTTCATGTCATTGGTGGTTTGTTCACCTACAAAAACAATAGATTTAGTATTTGGTTTGATAAAACATTGAAATGTCCTAGCTTTTCATTCATTCATACACTTGGCTTTCATATAAGATATTAGCTAGCATATTATAAAAGTAACCGGGATTTGTTTTCAATCTACTATTGATTTTTTATTTGTTTATTTAATTTCATCTGATATGCCGTTATTCCTTTCTTTTTAAGGATTTACATATGATATTGTCACCTGATAATCCAAACTGGGTTAGCACAGGTGTTGGAAACAATGTTGATGATGATTTAGTAATAAGGCGACGCTTTTTCCTTTATTGGTTAATTGAAAAATGTGTTGCACATCTTTCAATGTTACCTAATTCACAACGTTGTACAACACCATCATTCATAACAGATGAAGATATAATCCGTTCAGTTAATCATCAATCTGATTACACTTTTGGAGCTATAGATATTTATCGTCGATTTAGTTCTGCTGCTTTCACTTTGGCTAACCATTGGGGTTTTCCAAAAGATACTGTAGTTATACAACATATAGTATCCTTATTTGAAGCTAATCTAGATGATCAAGCTGAGCTTGTAAGCTTTATAGTCTTTTTCTTACTTATGTAATAAATCTATTATAAAAGTAAAGAATTTGTACCTTACATTTGACTGTATAATATCGAGTTATCAAATCAGATTCTTAGCTACAAATTTGCTCATTATTTATGTTATTGTTATAATTGAATATACTGTCACTTTATTCCAACTGCTTAAGTCTGTCTTAGTACACTTCGTACGTACGTAATAATGTAATTACAATTAGTTTTTATATCTTCCTTAATCACTTAAGTTGACACAAAACTGTAACAGGTTATCTTCATCGGGTTGATATCTGTAGGCACTTGTCCACGAAGAACGTAATCCTCATACAAATATATGTTACTGATGAATCTTCCACAAAAAAACGTTTGCAACGCTATTTTCTCATAGATTTCCAGAGAACTTTTTATCACCCTCGCTCCAAAAATAAAATAAGAACATCAATGTTTTAGTTTCAAGGTCATTTTGTTTACAGAAGTCGTTCAACGTGCATATGGTTTACAGTAATCTTGTAAAGCTCATGGGAGTAACACTAAAATTAATGACGTATATACACAAACAATCTGATTCTAAGTAGGATATGGATGTATTAGCCGCTATATTTTCCTGCAAAGTAGAACATGGGGTGTATACATAGACATTCAGTAAGTTTCCATCTTAATTCTTAAATGACTCAATGTTCCGATAATGTAATAAGACGAAGATTATCAGAACTGTGATAAATTAGCGCAATGCATTTCGAAAACAGTTTATTCTTACCTTAAACCTACCCTGGTAATATTGACTTATTATCCAGAGTGATTAGGTTTTGAATTGTGTTCACATTATTATTAGATTAGATGGTGGTTGAAAGTAGTCGACAGTAAACCCTGGATCCGGGTTTCGTGCTACTTGGCACGCAGCAAGATGTACCTGTAATCTTTGAAGGAACTGGTGCTCCCTGGCGAGTTCGATCCCGTGTCACCAGCTTCAAAGTCAGAGACGTTACCACTGAGCTATCCGGGCCGCGACTGACCTCTTGTAGGACTGGGATGTAATCACAATTGATTGATCACTGGGTGACCAATGTCATGCGTGTCTAGTCCTTATTATTAGTGCAGATCGAATGCTATCGACCATGTTGCAATGCGGCCACCAGTCTAGATGACGCGACACTACAACATGGTCGATAGCATTCGATCTGCACTAATAATAAGGACTATACACGCATGACATTGGTCACCACCCAGTGATCAATAAATTGGAATCACATTATTATCAGTCTTATTATTAATATCCTTATCTCCTCTTACCCCATTTCCAGTCTAGTTAACCTTTTATTTTTATATATAAATGCTCTTAACAAGTATATGTGTGATCAGATTGTTCGAAATGTATTGTGCTAATGTATTACATAGTTCTGATAATCTTCATCTTCTTATTACATTATCGAAATTTATCAAAGGGACTAATTGCTTTGTACTCAATGTTCATCACCTTTATTCACCAATATTATCTTGTTTTCAACTCGATTTATTTTTTTAAAATTACTAATGGTAGTTCTTATCAAAAGTTCAAGACCCTAGTAATTTGGCAGTTCGATTATTATTCATTGTTGGACGTCGTGTAGCTGATCGATGTTATGGTCCAGGACATAATAATACAAAACAACGATTACGTTTACGCGTCTTCATTCCACTGACAATTGAAGCATGGCTTCGTGGTCTATTATCACCGGTATGTTATAGTACTTTTTCATAGATATAATTAATGCTTTTTATTCATTAGATTTCTAGTTTGCCTGATAGTCAACAAATTAATGATCATGACTCTCAATTCACTTCATCTACAACAGATGTGAGAAGATTGACATTTCTTATTGACTATGTAATACAACATCTACCACAATACGCAAGTCAGTTGCCTATAGCTGAAGAACTACGAGATATTATTCAAGCTATTGTACAATTAGATACAGAATAGTATTCCTTTCTCTTTTTTAATCATGTATGCAAGAATCTCTTCAACAATGTTATTTTTCTCTTATTAAATGATAGCGAATAAACATCTTTGATCATAAAACTTGAGTTAACGTGATACATTGTCTTTTCTTACTCAATACTGTCATAAGATACAATAAGCAAAAGTTTTGCGCTCTTAAAACCACAATATAAATGCTGTTCATTTGACGTGATAGACGAAAATGAAACAATTCTTTTGGTTATAATGTTCAATTCTATTATCGCCATCACCAAGTCAATCGCAACGTAAAACCATGGTACTTACTTACATCGGTTCAAATTGCTATACCCCAATAACACAGCGAGATGAAATTTTTACGGTAAATCCCACAGTAGTAGAGGTAGTAACAACAAAGACTAAACATCGAAGATACGATTCGAGAAAAATATAGATTAGTGAAATAAAAATTTATTGATTCAGAAACCTAGAATCTGGGGAATGGTAAGAAGTAGATGCATCTACGCCATTGCAAATGTCATTCAAAGTCCTTAACCATTGGTCAATATAATCGCGCGGACCACAACCAGGTAGCCTACACCTATTAAAATAGCTCAGTCTAATTTCCGTTGGCTGGTGCTATGCATTGGTTTTGTTAGCGGGACATAGATTGAATTAAAGCATGCTCCATACACGATTGCGTTGGTGCATGCCGATTGGCTAATTCTTATCCGATCAGCGCTAGCCGATACTTGGAGAACACTCTAGAATCTTCTCATGTAAAAACTATAAAAATAGCGTTTTTCCTATAGTACTTCCTACTTCCATTTAACCTTGTTATTTGGAATATAATTTCCTTCCTGTTCAACCGTGTTCTGATTTGGGGACTTGTGGAGTGTCCAAAATACTAGGAAATAGGAGTAGCTGGGTTGTAACAAGAGAGAAGTATGACAAGTTTCGTCTCCTAGATTTCTTCCAGCCTACTCCTATACCGGACATCGCCCATCGAGGCAATAAATGCTTTGTGTCCTACTTCGATCCATGTTTTGTCAATTTTGGGCGTATTAGTTTCCGTATAGAGATATTACTCTCCCAATGCTTCCAGGGAAGTCCTACTCACTGCCTTCTCGTGGCGGGGGTGTTGTTTACAAAAATGAGAGGACGAAAAGCGAATGTCTGGCGCTTTAACCGGACCCCAAATCAATGGTGCACATGGGCTCCAGTATCCTGCGGGAACAAATGGCGTATGAACCAATCGTTGGTCACCGGCTACCATGGGACTGCATCTCCTCACGATGCTCCACTGCCTTGTGGGTCAGACGTTCAGGTCAAAGGCTCGGGGTGTGGCCCCCTACGAAAACCACCTGCTTCGGTTTGGACACCCGGGCAGTATCACAGCCCTCACACAAATCAATTGAGCTTTGTGTGGCGCATATGTATTTTGGTGCCTCCCTGTACCTATACTTATGTGTTAAAATAAAATAGAGATATTAATGTGGTCGACCAAAGCAAGACGTCCGATGTCACATCCTAATTTAATTTTCCTGAAGCCCTCCTCCTGATATTGAGAAGAGTGGTAGTTTGGAATCTATAACAGTGCTGATGACATAAGATCATAAGCGTAACCAAATTATCGTTTTTGTAAAAGACTCTGGATAAGCGCTGGTTCCACCATGTCTTGAAAAGCTGTCTTACCCTCATGAAGTAGCTCAAGACCTACTGAACGTATGTCGTCGTTCTTTTATTTACCACCGTCCACGACTTGTATGAGTTAAAAAGTAATAGTTAACATGGTCAATGATCATCTACAACAGACAAATTTTACGATAAAACCATACAAATGTATGCAATGAGGATTATACAACATATGATGCTAGTTGGTGATATGAAACACTTACAAAGCTGGAACAACTTACCTCAGGAATCTAGTTGGCATGACTTCAAGTGAATCATGTCATCATAGTTCCAGCATTTATTTTAATTTTTCTTCATTATTATAGTGCTTTGCCATTTACCTTTTAACTTAAAACAAAGTATTTTTTTCAAAATGTTTGCTTAATTTTCATTAACCTTTATTATTTGCAAATATCATTACAAATTCACTGTTATCCTCATATAAGAATATCACTTTAATTGATTATTGACTCCATAAATTATTCTATTTGTTAACTGTGCACAAGGATACATCTAATACTTTATATTTAACTATTCTATAATCACTGGGTTTTTTTTCGAAGATATTTTCTTGAATTACCAATCAAAACAATGTAAATCTTTAAAAAAAATTTCAAGAAAAAATAGTATTCATGTATTATTATGATTTATTATTAGTTTTTAATTGTACATATGTAGTTTATTGTTTAGAAACGAGAGTGATACACTTTCAAATGATATTCAACAAATGATTTAATTGCAAAGTTTATAAAAATTAAGATTATCAGAATACAATTTAACAATCGAAGTAATATTACTAAATTATTATCTTAACACGATTACAGTGGAAAAAACGAATGTGTAAAATATCTCACATTATTTCAAGTTAATCACAGTAGAAAGATTACAAAAACAAAACATCAACTAACAAACGTCTCCAAACGCTCATCACGATAATTTATCCATTGATGGTATGATTTGTCCTGACAAAAAAAAGTTGTGAGTGAAACCGAAACCATGAGCAATTTGACGCTGTACAATGAGAAACAAAATACACTATCTTCCTACTACTGCTATTATAATGGAATTATATGAAAGTGACCAATGAGGATTAACTACACATTGGTGATGAGGAGTGTGTGGAAAGAAAGAAAAAAAAGGGTTCTTTAAACAAAATAGAAATTATAACTTTCAGATATTATTACCACCATAATTATTATTCATTGGTCTGATAGACATTAAACGTCGAATCTCAGCAACGGCAGAACAAAATTGACACCAGATATATTGTAATTCACCATTTAGGTTATCACCAGCAAAATTGTTTATAAATTCGATATTGCTCAGTAGTCGAGGAGGATTTGTCTAGAAAAATATAATGAAGAATTGACAAGCGAGAACAAATTCTGCATTACCAATAAAAATCGATGAGCCCATATTAAAAGGTATCATGTGTAGTGTCAATTGTTAGTTAACACAATATCATTTGACTGGTATTTCTTTTCTTGATTATGGTAAGACGGATCGATAGACTGGTAAAAGTCATGATGAAGAGCTTATCGAAAAAAGTATTACTCTGTTATAGTTGCTCTCCGTTTCAAAACAAAGCAGCGTGTAGCTATAATAAAAATTTATCTGAATTCTAAAACTATGTACTACTTAAATTAAGCTAATGTATATGTTTTGTGATTTTCAACAAGAACTAATCTTAGCTGGATAATCATGGGGAACTAAGAGACATTGAACAGCTGTTTTGTTCTAATATGGGACTCTAACACAATGCACAATCAAGACTTGGTCAGGAATCAAACTCAGGACTCGGGACAAGTAATCCATACTTAGTAACGTCTGATACCTAGTTACTTATTTTATGATTGCTCTACTTAAATTACTATTAATTATCTGTTATACACATAAAATTCTTTAAAAAAGCTTTAAATAATGTTCTTTCATTCGATAAATTGAATAACTAATACCGAAGAAAGTACTTCAATTCTATTCATGCTACTAGCCATATTAGACAAATCTCATCAAAAGTTATTCGTCACAGTACACGAAAACAGAGCATTCATATTCAATCAGTCTGATTATTTAATGTAACAAAAGTATACCCTACTGTGAAAAACTAATGATAATGAAAAATAAACAACACTCCTGTATATCAGTCATATTAGTAGTGTTTGTAATTAACAATCCGAGTTATATGATAAGATTATATCTTTTGTTCAATGTTACTTAATAATATTGTTTTTACTGCGATGTATCTATATAGTGAGAATGATAGGCAAAATATATCTGATAAATATACTTACATGTATAATTAAATAAATGAGCACTGGTAAAAGATCATCTGCACAAGGTATTGATGTGGGATTGGCTAGTTGCAAAGCAGCTAAAACATGATTTATTACACGTTTCAAACAACGAAGTTTGTCAGATGATGTCTATATAAGATAGAAAAAAAACCACTCATTAATATTTGTAGAAGAGACATCATATAAAAGGAATCAAACAGAGAACATACAGTTGTGAGGACGTTAAATTTCCAGTTCTTAAGTTTTTATTTTATCGGTCTTAATGAATGGCTTAGCTCATTTAAGAGTATATTTAAGTAATTATATTAGTTCAACTGACAGTCCTGTTTACAGTATGAATTCCTAAATATAATTCGAATCGACTTAAAGGCAGAACCACTAAGTATATGGATTTGAGCATCGTTTTCTCGAAAAGTCACAAATATCTAAATGCACGAAATTCCTCAAAATTCAAGGTGTGCAACAACTACAATTAGAATAGAGTGAATAAGTCGAGCGCGTTCATTGCTTCAATTATATTGGGAGTTTCATCAAAACAATCGATTTAGCAACAGACGAATCATCGCTTGGTTTCTGCTATTTTCCTTTAGATGTGGTGTAGGCGAAATGTTGTCTGTCAACGAGGAAAGTTTGATGAATGGCAGTTTTCTTTGTATGATATAGTGACTATGAAAGTAAGAGACATTTGTAGTCTGAAATTACCCATAGATAGGTGTCTTCGAAGCATTGCTCGCACGTAATCGAACATCCGAATGAACAATGCCAACGCTAGGCGTACAATTAGGTTGAGAATGCTTATCAGTTGAGATGCGTGAAACATGACAAGCAAAAACCCACTTTGATGTGAATTCCTGGCCAAGGTAACGGTAGGTTTAAAAAGCTGAGGTCATCCAAAAACAAGAAAAGCATCAGTCCTTATAGTCGTCTGTTGAAATAAGCTATGTAGCGAGATGTAAATCCTCTATATAGTGTCTTCATGATAATTGTGACCAGTAGCCAGAAATTTTGAGTGATATCCCCAAAAATCGATCATAGTACTTCAAATTCATTTATTCTTTGCTTACATTTAGATCCTGAGTTTTAATGATTTTCAAGATTTTCATTTCTGTCTCCCGAACTATATGTTTTTTTCTGATCGATTTAGCAATTTAAGGCAATATATATTTGGTTTTTTTTATTGAGATCATGAACCGATTGATGTTAGACCACCATTAAAAACCTGGAAGAACTGGACGGCCTTTTCGTCCTATTGTGCTTCCAGGTTTTCAAGTGGTCTAACTTCAATTGGTTCATGATCTCCATAAAAAAACTTGACAATCTCGACAACCCCTAAACTGATAATATATATTTGGGTTACATTCCAGATTGCTTATAACTGACGAAAAGCTTTCTGTATATTACTTGAATCTTTGTACTTGCCTTTTAAAAATGACAAAATAGAACTATATGTATGAAATTAAACAATTTGATATTCATAACGATATCTCCATTTAACTTCAATTATGAGTGCTACCAATAAAACATTTTTTTTCTATTGTAACAACTGAATTGATAGTTGCCGAAAAAGAAATTACAATCTTAAGATAAATTAAAACTAGTTAAATAATAAAAAAACACAATCAACAAAATTTATAGATTAGAAAAAAATACTCAATACAAATACATACATGATAGCAGTCTAACAATAGAAGTTCATTTTGTACAGATTTTAATGGTAAAACATTATGATATGCATTTGAAATTCGTAATTCTGTTGGTGTTATTGTATTTTGTAAAAATGCTAACTCTCGATGAAATAATCTGTTTTAATATAAAAGAAATAATAAAGGTATTTATATATAAATATTTATAATTATACTAAAAACATTAAATTTTAAAATAATAAGAGTTTCCTTAATAATTAGTATTAAACAGATGTAGAATAGTGAAATTTTCAGAATACAATAAATTCATCATTTTATTTTTATGTTTTCTCAATAACTTTAAATAGTTCTAGGGAATTTTAGTGACCCGCAATCTGACTCTAGTTAGATTGGACAAATGATCGTTATTAAATTATTGCTATCAAGATATACATGTCGCCTATCCTCGTATACAATCATCGACTTAACTCGCGTTGGTGAATAACGGAATTAAATAAGTCCAATACGAGAATGACTCTAGAATTTATATACTTCATACAATTGTTGATCCGAACAGACAATCAGAAAATCGCAGTCAAGGAAGTGAAGAGGAAACAGAGAAGCGAGACTAAATGACGCGCAATGAAGAAGACGAGTGAGCCAATTCAGTTTAGGCAAGCGTGAATCCATATTTATTGTCAAACAAAAATAAGCTACAGACATATGATGAGTAGGATAAGATGTACAAACATATGCGCTCATGTAAAAAGTCAAGGTTGATAAGTGAATAATTAACCAAGTCAAATGTGACTCAAGAAGAATGAATAAATTGGGCCGTCCAGAAGCTAGAATAAGTTATACGGGTTTATAACATAGTAACCGACACTACAGAATAATGATGATCAGAAATAAATTGTCACTGACATTCTTTACACAATAGATAAATACAAAAATGTTTCTTTAATTTAATTTAGATTGCAAATTGCCTCATCTGTAACAGTATTACATTCTTGAAAATGTCAAACGGTTAGTTATTCATGATTCAAGCAATGAGAAATTGAAATTTTATACGATTAAAACCTTTTATTTTTATTCGGTTCAAATTGCTATTGTTGTTGAAGATACTAGCGTCCAAAGTCTTTCTGGTATGATAAGTGTATGAAGCAGTAACTGACTTCAGGTTAAGCATCCCATTTGATCTACTCTGATTTGGATAACTATGTAATGTATTAGTACTTTTCATACAAACACTGGTAGTGTGGGTGGGTTACTTATATCCACACAAGTAGTATATGACGGTGGTCAGACATAGAATGTATTTCAGTAGAAGGTCGATGAGGAAAGAGCGGGAACGAAACGCAATTGGTATGAAAACGCGTGAACAATGAAATCTGAGACAATGGATTGATGTTTGCAACAGGAACAGTCAAGTTTGATAGGATGGATTGATATTTTGCAAATTAACAATTTAATATATGGTCCTCAGATTTTTATTGAGATGCTCTGTAATTATGTGCCTAAATACATTCGATTGTCCCCATTGGTGTTCTTGTTCACAACAGTAGTATGGGTTCGCTTAATCGTTACAGAACTCCCTTGATATCTGACAAACAAATTATGCAATTATTTGTACTCATTTAAGTTACGTAGCGTCCAAACATGAAAGACAACAGATGAAAATTAACTGCTCTAACTGTTAAGCTACCACTAGTTTGCAAGGACGTCTTATATATAACTATCCAGTAGTTCTCTATTATGTTTAGCGAATAATCAATCGATTGCCAGCCAATGGTTAACAATATTGTTTCATTCAACAGAAGATAAATAAAGCACAATACACTAAACTGGGGAAACATACTCATCACGTTCCTTCTCTACGCTGGGATTATTAATCCATATTACAAACGGATAAATTTCATCCATAACAAGTCTTTCTAACTGTATAATCACACTTTCTACATTGTTATCATTTGTAATTGAACTATCCCCCAAAATATTCATTGATAATTGAGGTACATCAGATCTATGTAATAATGATAAATGCGTTGAAGTGAAACAATCATTCAGATACGATTCACGCCATTTAGTTTTCATTTTATTAATTAATTGTGTAACAAGTTTTTGTACGATTTCAACACGTAATTTTGGATCACAAGATAATTCGTCACTAGTGAATTCTTGATGAAATTCTATGAATAATTTTCTATGTTGATTAATAAATTCCAATAAATTTCTATTTGTAATATATTCTTGTTGAAGGTGTATAGATTGTTGCAACCTTGGAATAGAAAAAAAATACAAAGAAAAGAAAAATAATATACAGATCAGTCAATCTGGCATGAAGTTGTGCTACTACAATTCACCATACTATATTGTAACGAAGACATGAAATTGATGTAATAAATTCCAAAGTCGAAATAATTATAGTACCAATGATAGTGATAAACACTGAACTTTGAATAGAATTCAAAAACAGAATTGAAATTAAACAATAAGTTGACAGCGAAAAACGCGAAGAGATTGTCAGTTTATGACATGGGAGCGTAGTATGAAAGATAGCTTTATAGGACTGAAATATCTCGGATTGTTATAACTTTTCAGTTGAAGTCCTAGATATAATGCAACTCGCTGAGGCATTACCAAACATGACCCAAAATAGAAGTCATAGGAGAAACCACTATATTTTTCTTCTAAATGTCTCATAAATGTAAGTGGAACTCCTTTAACTAAAAGAGAACTCAACTGATTTCATTTTTAGTAATACTTCTTTCTTTATAAAGTTATTTCTTCGTTTTTGTGGCGCATACTTATTTTCAAGCATAGTTGTATCATGCGTTTATTTAAACACATAAAGATTGGTACAAGGAGGCACCAAATAGATATGCGCCACATAAATCTCATTTGACTTGTGTGAGGGCTAGGATACTACCCGGGTGCTCAAACCGAAGCAGGATAGTTGTACAGAAATCAATTGGTATCAGATAAAATCAATAAAAATTCAGGTCATTGATCTCAACCACTTAAGTGAATATTAAAACATTGAGAATTTCACTTATCTTTAATCATTAACGAAAACTTCTAAAAAGAATATTGTAGAAAAACATAGAAAGATCTTTTACATACCAATTTATAGATAATTCTAAATTTGTTTTGAGTTTATTTAATTGTTCATAATTATTTTTTAATTGGATTCTATAAATTTCATTTTGTCTAAGATATTGACGAAGACTAGAAATTAAACATTTAGTTAAAGAATATGATAATGTTTTATTAGTTAAATTGAATAACCAATTATTTTGATTTAAATTAATTTCTGTATTATTCTTATTTGAACATTTATCATTAATTGTTGAATAATCAGAATTTAAACAATTTTCTAATAGATTGTTTAATTCTAATATAATATTTCTTGTTTCCATTAGAATGTTAATTATTGTTGAATTTTGCTAAAAAAGAAAGATAGAAGAAAAAAAACAGAGTAAAACATAAACGAATGATAATTGGTTATATTTCTTAAGAAGTATAGAGTCTATGACAATTATGAAGCCTAATTCTATCAACAAATTAATCAAAATATTGCTGTAACATAATAAATCCAACGAAATACTATTCAATTAATATTGTATTATCCTTTCAATAACTACCGATCTAACTATCAAAATTATTGAGATAACAAAAAGAAATCAAAGGCTTATTTATTCACTTTAACTAACGAGAATAGATGAGAAAGAGAGTAGATATTATTTAAAAAGTATTCTCATTGGTTGCTTCGGGTAGAATTTTCTAAAAATAATGCATTTTCTAACAGTAAAACATTAGAAAAGTGAACTAGATAAGGTTGTGCAAACACAACACCATATTTCGCGTACTAAAATCCTAGAGAGAACTATGGTTAAAATACAGTCAATAGTCGACAAATTCATATTTCTTTTGAAACAAAAAAAGTATACTTGACTAATTTTTTTTAATTCTTCGACAAATTACACTGTGATATTAATATCATTATTATCATGTTTTCAAACTGTTATTGGTCATATTATCTGTATTTCAAGGACATATTAATAGTAACATAATACTGTTTATCCATTTGTTACTTGAACCATTTCTTGAGATATGAAAACTTCCTAACAGATTAGACTTTACCTTCAATTTTTGCAGGGTGGTTAAGTCCAAGGGAAGTGCTTATTTAGCCTACAATAATTACAGGTTCTTTCTTGCATTAGTATTATTCCTCGACCATTTCAGTTCAAACACAAAGTACTGATAAAACCATACATATTGGGAGAATATTATGGCTAAAGAGAGTTTCAACAACAACTAAGCTGTATCATCGTGTTATAGGAAGAAGTTGTTTACATCAATAAATTGATGATGAAATATAAGATATGACTTATTCAGTATAAGATGGGAGTTCTTTTCCTTCTTCATTATATAAGTCAATAGTGGATTTCCTTTAATTCCAACTAGAAAGTTATTTTCAGAATATTTCTTCAACGTAAAATGTCTTCCTATTTTTTGAAAGTACAAGGGTACTTCTGAATTCAATTAATGCCATAAATAACAATATAACTTATTTAAAAAGAGCAGATCTATAGACTAGTCTTTTCTCTACTCTTTGTAAGGGCAACTTAAATTTCATAAGGATAAATGGGAAGCAGAGGTTCAGATCTGTGACTTGTTGAAAAAAAGTTGCTTTATCTACTGAAGTACTGAACACACGGTCTATATCTAATTGAAATACAAACGACTAAAAGTATAAGATGAGCTGTTCTTAGCACAAATTACCAAAAAACCAGTCAGCACAATTTAGAGACCGAATTTTTCCGACGAAAATTTAAACAAATGTATTTCAGAGAAGCTAAAAAATGTAAAGCATCGGATATTGACTCAGTGATCTAAAAGTTAAGCGCTCTCCGTGAGACCCAACAATAATGAGTTTGATCCCCTGTGGGGATGTGGATGCGTACTGATGTAGAGTCTCATAAAAAACAAAACAGCTGTCTAGTGGATGATGTTTTTTAATTGGGGTCAGTTTGTGATGTGAACCATTGGAAGTAGAGAAACAAGCATAAGAAATAGCTAAGAAAAGTTGGCTGAATTGAAACTAACCTGTGTACCATATAATCCAGCTAGCATTGAATTTAACAAGGAGAAAAAGATTTGGTTCTCACTAAATACACCAGTTATATCTTGTGATTGTCGAAGTAACAATTGATTATCACATGTCATCTGCCATGTTGACTTAAGTTTTTGAATAGTATTTAAAGCGATAATATTTAATGTTGAGTTAGAGAATATCTCTTCTAGACCATTTAAGGCTAAATTGAACAAATGAGGAATTGATTTGCGTGATTGTGAACAAACAGGAGATAATGAATATGATGATGATGACGAAGATGATGATTGCAATGAAGCGATAGAAGAGAAATTTTTGTCCGAACTATTTATATTTTCAACACTAACAACAGTACTATTGTTGACCATTTTGTTGGAATTTGAAGTACTAGGGATTTGTTTGCCATCATTAGAATACTGAGAATTGGAAATATGATTAAAAATGGATTTGTCTGGTGAAACAACTTTTGTTTGTCTACGATAACGTTCCATCATTTCATCGACAGTTTCTTCTGAACAATTGAAGGATATAAAAAACAGGAAAACCAACTACATGTTTACATGAACGTTTAAACAAAACACTGAATAAGAGTAGTTAGCGCTTCAATATTAGAAACATTTGGCTGGTTAAGAATTATTTGTAATTTAAATCTTGCGATTGTGAGTCAATTAACCAATAAACCTCCAGTGAGAGGACGAAAAGCAAATGTCAGGAGCTTTAACTGGGTTGGCGGACATGGAGAGTCCACCTAGGGAGTTGGAAAACCCTGATTCCAAACCAATGGTGCACATGGGCTCAAGTATCCTGAAGGAACAAATGGCGTATGAACCAATCGTTGATCACCGACTACCATAGGACTACATCTCTTTACGATGCTCCACTGCCTTGTGTATCAAACCTTTAGGTTGAAGGTTCCGGGTGTGGCCCCCTACGAAAACCGCCTGCTTCGGTTTGGGCACGCGAACAATATCTCAGCCCTCACACAAGTCAAATGAGATTTTTGTGGCGCATATCTATTTGGTGCCTCATTGTACCAATATTTATGTGTTTAAATAAATAAAGAAAGAATAAACCTCCAACGAAGGGGTTAAAATTGTCTACAGGTTTGAACAAATTGAAAGGTGACTGATCGTTGATATTGGGTGAATCAAACCTTTCTTTAAAAAGCTTTACTAATGAGTTATAAAGTAATAACTAAGTATTTATTCAACTTTAGACATTACTGTGAATTATATACGCGCTTTTGATAAACATGAATGTATCTTTTTAACAACAATCACAATTGGAGATAGTATTCGGTATAATTCAGATTGCTTTCTTTCCCAAATTAAAATACTTAGCAGTCAGTTAGTATTATAGTTAATAATAATTTATTAGTTTGCCTACATAATCACCACAATTTGATAATTTCGAAAACAGAATTGACAATTTCGTAAAGAAAATAAAACTATCAGATGTTTGAAGGTAGTCGATAGGAAGTGATCAAACTAGGTTTCGTATTAGTTATCACTCATCATCAAAGTGTACCGGGAAGTTAAAGGATACTAGTGCCGGATTTGAGTTCAGGTCGCCTAGAATGAGATGATACTACTGAGCTATCCAGGATATGACTGACCTCCTCTAGGACTGGGATATTTACTTTGATCCGTAGCTGAGTATTGGTCAGCGTTATGTTTGTGTAATCCTTGACACTGATTGCATTCTATGAATTAGTTTGCAATGGAAAACAAAAATGAAATAAATAGAACACAGTCACAGGATTTCCAACAATTACCTTTTCTCATACTGTCATCTTCAAATTGATTTGAATTTTGTGATTTAACAGCTAGTTGCTTCGACTGATTAGAATTTGGCAAAAAAGAAGATGATGCACTTAAAAGTTGTTGATTATCACGTGATGAATATGTTCTTGATTTCACAGAAACTGACTCCATTAAATCCGGAAGAAATGAATACTAAATTAAGGGGATATAGAAGCACAAAATGTAAATACATTTAGTAATAAGACATATTATATTCAATAGAACATAAATCTGAATAACACAAAGAGACATTATTTTAATAGCTAGCTAGTTTACTTGGAATGTTGTTCTTGAGAATTTAATCAGGTCATACAATTATCTATCTGACGTATAAGATCAACTCCATTTAGATGGCAAATGTATTTCAACAATATACAGCCAACAAAACTCATATCATTTGGTTGGAATATTAAATGGACGCTTTGATTCCATGCTACCGTTATTGCAAAGTACGGTTCTTATGAAGTGGTTTTAGAATAGACACTATCTCGGAATTGTAGTCAAGATTATGATTAGAGGTGAAGTTCAGGATCAAGTATTCGGCTTACATCCTGTTAAGATTTCTAATTGGACTACAGTAATTCTTAATTACGAACGATTTGGATATTTTTATAATATGAAACTGGATCTACTCAAACTGAATAGATTAGACAACTGGAATACAACAATTTAAGAATAATCCCCAACCCAATGGAAAACAGGAGTTCAGGAGAAGCTGGATATCGAAGAGGAAATGGCAGTGGAGCAACTTTGGATATATAGGGACTAATAATGACATTGGAACACAACAAAACTAATAAACAAAAGTGAGGAGAGCCAATTAGATAACGTCAAAAGTCACCAAGGAAATATTAATTGGAAAAGTTATTGCAGTTATCATTACAAGAAAGAGCTGTCAATCATTAAAAATAAACTAGATAATCTGAGATCTCCTTAGCACGTATACATGATCTGCGTACATAACAGTTACTGTTACTACCCGAAGTAGAGATATAATCTGTAATCCAATTATCAAAATATAAAAACTTTTAAATTTCAGATTTTGACGTGTCGCGTGATAGTGAAGAAAGACGAACAGAGATCCCATAATCTGCAATATAATCATAATTTTATTGTGGACTCTACTCTGTATGTGCACTTCTGGTATAATAATTCAGTAAAATACTGTTTAGCATATTATCTGAGATTAGGTTGTTAGTTGTGAACTTCACATTTAGGTATAACGTGATCCAGTTTATAAATATTTAGTGTATGCAGTTGTAGTGCTATCCTATAATTGCATTATAACTGGGAACGCGAAAATATCATACTTCCGCGTTACAACAGATATTGAAACAAGAAACTCAGTCTTTTGTTGTATTATTCCAAATGCAACAAGAACACTAACTGTTTATATATATCAACCAAACCAAGTAAAAACAGGCCCCCAAATGTCCTGGTACGGCCGAGAGTGGGGAGAGTCAGTTCTCCCACTCGGAATGCTCTCACATGGCCACGCGTATATAGCCTCTGACAGGGAAGTCCTACTCACTGCCTTCTCGTGGCGGTGTTGTTTACGAAATTGAGAGGATGAAAAGCAAATGTCAGGAGCTTTAACTGGGTTGGCGGACATGGAGAGTCCACCTAGGGAGTTGGAAAACCCTGATTCCAAACCAATGGTGCACATGGGCTCAAGTATCCTGAAGGAACAAATGGCGTATGAACCAATCGTTGATCACCGACTACCATAGGACTACATCTCTTTACGATGCTCCACTGCCTTGTGTATCAAACCTTTAGGTTGAAGGTTCCGGGTGTGGCCCCCTACGAAAACCGCCTGCTTCGGTTTGGGCACGCGAACAATATCTCAGCCCTCACACAAGTCAAATGAGATTTTTGTGGCGCATATCTATTTGGTGCCTCATTGTACCAATATCTATGTGTTCCAATAATAATAATAATATAATAAGTGAAAAAAGCAAAAATAAAAATAATCATTAACTACTGACTATACTGATACATATGTCTATTGATAAACTATACACATTTTCATTTGATTAATAGATTTTTATTGTGCAGCTTAGTGTTATTTATTGAGAAAATCTAACATGATCTAACTCATGCAAATATAATACATATAGTAAACAGAAAGATCACTAACAAACATGTTATATACAACATGTTTAATTAACATAATTTTCTACAATGTTGTTTTTCTTCATTTAGAAAAATGCATGATGATACATATTTGACATAGACAATTTATTTCTAAAGGAAAACGATTAGCATAATAATTCTTTGATTAAAAACAAAGTTTTATCTAATTAACATGATAAGAAATATTAGTTAATTTCTATGTCATTTTTATTCAATTTACTATAACTGTTAAATTGTAGTGAGCCCATCCCACTACTGTATTATTTATCCGCTCACAGTAATTTAGACACTATGTAAATTTCTGTGTGAGTCTGATTGAGCACATGTCAATTTTTAATCTATTCTCCCATGGGTTGTAATACACAGACAATCAATAATTTATCCATACGTGATTAACACTCAAAAATATGTATGGATTTTTTAACACTCACACTCTTGGTTTCACTGTGTGCTTGCTTCGTGTACGCTTGCGGATTTTACCAATCTTTAACAATAAACTATCTCTATAACTGATGTTTGGGCTTTTGAATAATCTTGAGTAAATCCATAATTCTACTAGGAGATTTAGCCTGCATTAAATACTCAGTTAACGGGATACTATTTAGTGGAGTCAGATATAGAGGAAATTAGCCTCTACAGAATAATCATTAATTATAACCAGTGTAAAATATAATAATAAGACAATCATGAAATTTTAATCTTACATGAACAAATTTTTTAACAGAAAAAGTATTTTTGAACTTCTTAATAAAATAGACATTACAATAAATAGCTTTCGAGGAGAAAATTCTAGTATAACAGACTAGGCAAAGATGGGTAATTGATAATTCTGTTATAAAATCTTATCGATGTATATCCAGCTATTGCTTATCTTGATATGTAACGCTAATGATGTAAAAATAAACTGGAAATGAGCTTAAAGCAATCAAATAAAGACATGTCATTAGTTCGTATAGTCGGTGACGGTTAAAATGAACTAGATAGTGCATATATCCTGGTTGAACTCTATGTAAAAACCAAAAGAAGTGATTCAAGAAACAGTAAAGCAGATTTATTCATACTTTACCTTAAACCTAGATTTACTTTTAATCCCTTGGTTTATTCGTTTTTCGAATCTAGTCTTTTCATAATTATAGGCCTTAATTTGATATCCATCTTGTTAGTTTTATCTCGCTATGCTGACGTAATGTAGCAACCTAGGTTAAGGCATATGTATGCCAGACCTTGCGCTAATTATGAAATACCAACTAAAACTTACAGAGAATAAGATAAATAGATTTTTGTACTTTACTCACCTACCTATCCGAACTATTTTAAATATGACTGGGTCCCGTTGATAATGTTCATGACTAGGTATTATACATTATTTACAAATTTCATAAAAGATTAGTTGATATCAATTTCATAAACTACTACATACAGTTGTTCATAATAAAATAAAAAAATTCAAGGCTACATTGAACAAAACAATATATTTCAGCTTATAACATGTTTGACATAATTAAGTCAATCTATTGAAACTTAAACCATAACCTGATTTAATAAAAGAGGAACCAAAATAACAACTGGAAAGAATAAGTCAAACGAATATAAGTTTAGTAATTGATTTGGTTCGCTAATCTTTTGATCAGTGGATCATCGATTTGAACATCAACTTAGTTTAAGCAGCAAAAACAGAACATCATATACAGCGTAAGAACAATAAATCTATAAGTTTCATTCTCTGATAGAAAATTTATTGTATTATAATTATGATTTTCAAGCTACCAGTAGTAATTCAATGAAAGATAAGCAACATACTATTAAACTGAAGATTTAAAAATATAAAAAATGAATGCAACTACACCATTATTATAGACCTTGAGCTGTTATTTGACCTTTCCAATCATCAATTACGAATATCTTGAAAATCATACTTAAGAAGCATTTACTTACTAGTATGCCATACACCAACAGTCGTTAGCTTTATAAATTTTATCTCATGTTTTTATTTGATAACTGATACAGTAGGCCAACCGGAAAAAGAGAAGTTAATATGTTATCCCAATCAGAAATCGCCAAACGAAAAGTGAATGTGATAAGCTACAGAATGTCTTTATTTTTTATGGAATAAGACATTGATCACTGAAAAGCTTAATTTCCTAAGGATAGACATATGTTTATGTAGATGAGAATATGTACATGTAAATTGGTTTAACCCAATAATAAAACTTTCTTATTCTTCGTTTTTGGACTCGAGTAACCTGGCTTATACATCAATATCATCTCTTCGACTTTGAGCATTAAAACAATCACCCTCGCCACATAAGTTAGTCGTCGTAGAGAATCGAGGTAGATCATAACCATTTATATATAATACATTTTTAGTCGTTATATAATCGATGAAGTTCCGCAATATAGTCTTTACATAATAATAATGTTGAAATAAACTATAAAAATAACAAATAAATTCAAGGGGATAAAAGATTGGTACTGCATACAGAATAAAAACATTTCATTAATTATAATTAATGAACTATTACCATAAGCACTTATTACGCAATCAAGTGTACGAACAGTCTCTAGCTTCATTAGGCGGATGACATTTCTGTATGATGTATATATCATACCTTAATGTATGCTATCAATGAGAAATAAAGTCAGTCAGATGCAACATAGAGCCAGGCACATATATGCATCGGTCCAAGTTGCCATACCGCATTAGCACAACAAGATGAACACCGGATTCATAGAAGTAGTTAATTTAATGGTGGTAATATATAAAAGAAAGATTGCATATAAGGATATAGTTCAGGAAGAAAGAATTAGTTCGTAGAAAGAAATATATGAAGCGATTTTAATCTCTTAGTTTAAAGGAAGACAGAGAGTGTATACACCGACGCCACTGTGATCGATTCTGAGCCATGTCATCAAGAGTCTCCAACCATTGGCTACGATAGTCACGCGGACCCCAACCAAGTAGTCTGCATCTACCAACATCGCTCGAACCAGAAGTTAGTGACATCAAGCACTGATGCCACGTTTTGGTTTGGCCGCCTCTAACTTTCTTCCAACCATCCCCAACACCGGTTAGGATTGCACGTCGTGGTAATCGGTGTTCAGGCATACGCAACACGGGGCCCAACCATCTCAGTCGGTGAAAATTCACAACCTCATTAACTGATTTATCATCATTCCCTAATACCCTGCGTTTGACCTCACTATTACTTAGCCGGTGATCATACCTCTAACAGCATTCAAGACCACTGTATTGAAATAAACAGATGATTATTGAATTATCACCGAATATATATATATATATATATATATATATATATATATATATATATATATATATATATATATATATATATATATATATATATATATATAGACATCTACAAAATAGTAGTAATAACACCTTTTATTATCATATTTAACATACACGATTAGACTGGGATTCGTTGTATTGGGAGGGTGATGTATGGCGATGTTTGTCAATACTTGAATTACCTGATATCCGTGGGCGTCGAGCCATAAGATCTGGGAAAAAAAGGACAAACTCCATTTTAGAGAAAAAGGATCTTCACAAACTGCCAACATGTCATGTATATGATACACAAAGGTATCATATATATTTGCTTAATTAAAGGTAAACTTAGCAGTTAAAGGATCTGACTCTAAATTGTAAATAAATACCTACTGTCTAACTGTAAATTAGAATGGATTTGATTATTACGCTAAAGAGAAATATAAAAATAATTTGATATGTGTCGATTGTGCTAAATAATAAGCTCGATACACAAAACGTTTGAACATTGGCTCTCTAGCTTATCTCTATACCAACCCAATCCTTAACAATTAAATCCCGGATGAAAGCAAAAGGTGATAAGTATTATTTGTATCACTGATAAAGTTTCAAAGTCTGAAGTTCTCTAAGCAATTAGTACGTATAAGCACCCCATGTATTAAAAGGAATCAAATACCCAAGTAACTAATCTTAAACTCTTCATAACGATTTCCTAAACCACTAGCGACAACTCAAATATGATTAGCGAAATGTAGTCATTTCTGAACCAATAAAGTAGTACCAACGTAATATCTAAACCAACGAAGCCAGAATAACAATCACATCCAATGATCTTGAACGACCAGTTAGAAAGCTGAGAGAAGAGATTCGCCATTATTGAGAACTAATGATACAGTAGCACCGATATACTCTTACTAGGTCTAGTAATTACTCACTCTCCACAAGATTTTTGAAAATCATATCGCCATGAAATTTGACCCGTTTATTAATCACTTTTATTTGATGCTATTGTCTTGGTGGAAAACAATATAATGGACGATTGACATTACCGTTTTAAAAACATACATTTTCCACAAAATCATAAATACAAATTTTTACGCATACCTAATTTTCCCATTAGACGTGAAAAACTCTCTTTTAAAGTATGTGCACCACCATGGAGACGATAAGTATTCACATTGTGCCGTTCATCATCTGTAGATGATCTAAGCTCACCATTGATTTTTTCACCAGCATTACATGAGTTATCCATTTTAGTGGACATTACAGATGAAGTATGGTGATTAGCGTTTACTGAAGAATCCAATGATCCAGAACAATGATGATTTGAATGATTAGAATTGATAGGTTGTGATAATCCGTCAAGACTATCCTGTTTGATTAAATACCAAGTATAAAAACTATATATTTCAAAGCAGTATTGTTTAAATTGTGGAATATTGACTGTTTTTAAATGATGGAATCAATAAAACTGTTTATGGCATTTTAAGATTTAATTAGGCGTTTACATTCTCTTCCAAGAAAGTTTTGTTCATTGGTTTCATGTTATTTGCGTTATAGACCCCCAAATGCACTGGTACGGCCGAGAGTGGGGAGAGTCCGCTCTCCCTCTCGAAATGCTCTCACATGGCCACGCGTATATAGCCTCTGCCAGAGAAGTCCTACTCACTGCCTTCACGTGGCGGGGGTGTTGTTTACGAAAATGAGAGGACGGAAAGCGAATGTCCGGCGCTTTAACCGGATCCCAAACCAATGGTGCACATGGGCTCCAGTATCCTGAAGGAACAAATGGCGTATGAACCAATCGTTGGTCACCGGCTACCATGGGACTGCATCTCCTCACGATGCTCCACTGCCTTGTGGGTCAGACGTTCAGGTCAAAGGCTCGGGGTGTGGCCCCCTAAGAAAACCACCTGCTTCGGTTTGGACACCCGGGCAGTATCACAGCCCTCACACAAATCAATTGAGATTTGTGTGGCGCATATGTATTTGGTGCCTCCCTGTACCTATACTTATGTGTTAAAATAATAAATAATAATAATTTGCGTTATAGATGAATTAAGTTAACTGGATAGTGGTTATGCACTATAATTACATGCCCACAAATACTACTAAATGAGAGTTCACCATATGAAACTGAAAGTATTTTAGAATCAGATTACACAAGGACTGATTAAGTAAGTAGTATACCAGATACAGATTAATTACCTGACAATGAGAAGTAGCCGGAGAACTCCTCATAATTATAGGATGGATAGAATCATTGATGGCATGTAAATTACTTTCATTCACTTCTGTATTTATTACATCATTCAATGGGGAGCTGGAGTGAACTCTTGACTGGATTTCTCTGTTATCCGACTCCGAAGGAACGTTTATTGTTCGAAAGTTATTATTCTCAGAAGTTTCATTGATCAACGACTCTGACATAGGCGCCCTTCTATGATGATGACGATGACCACGCCGATGAGAAACACGTGCCACACTGTGACTAGAAAGACGTCTAGTAGCTGCATCTGGATTTAGATTGGATTGTGAATTTGAAAATTCTTGACCAAGATCAGTATATTCTGTATCCGATGGAAGTACATCAGTAGACCATGTATCACTCACAGTAGATCTGGTTTCATCTAAACATGTGAGATATATTTACCATAAATCCCACTAAAGATAACATCAGTTAACATGATGTGATAAAAGACAATATGATATCATACAAATAATTTTTTTTCTGAAAGGAGTACCAAAGAAGTACATTAACTTTATAAAGGCTCTCTACTCGAACACAACTGGTCGAGTGAGAGCGTATGGCGGAGTGTCATCAGAACTGATTACCTCAAGTGGTGTTCGTCAGGGCGGTCCACTCTCTCCATTCTTGTTTAACATTGTCGTTGACGTGCTTTTAGAGATAACACTTTCCTCATCTGAATTTCCAGGGATTGAACTTCTACCGGGAGAAAAGTGGATTGAGCGAAAAAATATGTTTGGAGATATAAATTGTAACAAATTAATGTTATTACAGGAACCAAGGAAAATTAGAGAGAAGTGGAAAAGCCACTTTATTGTAACTTGATACTCCACATTAACTTATTGACCGATCTAATAAAAGTTTTTACATTGTAGAAACTAACAAATTAACAATGAACCATTGATTGTGAATCCAAGGTTCGATGTATTAAAACTTAGATAAAACGGACCTGTAATTCAAAATTGCAAGCAAGTAATCGTTTTCACTCTCAACTTAAACAATTCCATAAGTCAAAGTTTCTACCTTTGGAGACGCTCCTTCCTATACTACAGCAACTTAATTAAAGAACTTATGAAGAGGTGAGAAGTGTCATTTAATTCTGTAGCGATAAAATGGATTCATAAATAAATAATGCATACATTTAAAAAGATACATAACAAGCTTACTCTCTGTCATCCGATTAGGAGGTAAGTCAAATTTATTAAATTTTTCGGTAACGTCTGGTGTGCAATGTCTTTGAAACATTGTCGACGGAAATTCATTAGGGCCACATCTTGTAAGTCCTAAATGAGTTGTGTTCGATGGCAATGTTGTTCCAGTAGGAAGAATAAGGCCAGATTGAGAAAACATCCCTGATACACGGTAATTATTTTCCGTACCATGGATAATTGGTTGAGCCAATTGGCCCCCACGAGACGTTGTACTAGTTAAAGATAGCGGTGTCACACGACCAGATATATTTGCTGATGAAAGAGGTAGGTCAGAAAGAGCGTCTTCTTCATCTCTTGGATAACTAGACTGTTCATCAACTTGTGTTTCAATTTGATCACTATTAATATCAACATCTTGAGATTCAACATTTTCAGGAATTGGATCTGGAATAACATCTTCACCTAAACGCACTCCACATGATGAACATGTTAATAAACTAGATTGTTCATCAACTTCTCTAACATCATTATGATCATGTGAATTTTGATATGACTGTATGAACGATGAATTTAGATGACATGAAGAAGAAGCAGTACTATGCTGAGAAACTGCCGCTCCTATTAAACCGCTATCACTGTCACTGTCACTTGATGCACTATCCACTGAAAAACTAGGAGTACCTATTTATAAACAACAAAGAAAATTTAATGATGTCTGAGGTGTGTCCTCGATGTTGTTATGTACATATCAACTTTGTTTTGTCAGTGGTCCTACTGCTTATACTTTTCAATCGGGAACCACTGCAATCACCACAATGTAAAATAAGAACACGAAAGATTAGTGCGATTAAAATTTATTGATTTTCCAAAAGCACGTCTCTAAACAGGTTCAAAATCACGTCGTGATTAGGCTAAAATACAATAGTATATGTACTAATTTCGACGTACAATAATAGCACATATAGGGGAAAACACATAGTTATGGTAAGAATACACGGAATCGATAAAGGGAATATATGTGTCAAACTGAATGAAAGTTCACACTTGTCACATTGAACGAGGTTTACACTGAATTGATATACATGATATTGACCTTAAAAAGTCACACTGAATGAAGTTTACACCTATCACCCTAGTCGAAGTTCATAAAGAATTGAAAAAAACTACTGACGTAAATAACGTCATCCTTTTATTCAGTCAAATAATTCTTTTGGGTTTCTATCAACAAAATCTTTTGGACAATTTTGAACTTCTATCTATGGTTAGCGGGAAAGGAAAGAAAAGAAGAGAAGCAACTTTGTTCAGTGTCATTGTAGTCGGAGTTGCAAATCGTTAGTTTGGTGTGCAGACGTATTATGCTGCGACCATAACGTTTTTGAGCAAAGTAAATAATGATACATTTTTGTATCAAATGGTTTAATTTTATGTCAATTTGTGCCGTCGATAACAATTAACATTACTCACGTGAGACTTCTACGCTATCAAAGATATAGATCAAGATGAATTAATTGATACTGTTTTGGAAACTGTAACTGATAATATTAGCAGCAACTTTTCAAAACTCAATACTATATATACATTTATATTCGCGAACCCCGGGACTCACCTTGACCTTCGGTATCCTGATTGGAAGTACTTGTAAGAAGTTTTTGAGAGTGCCGACGTACATGATGAGCTGGAAGTGAAGAGATTCCAGTAGATGCACATAAAGAAGTAAGTGAAGAACACCGAGGTTGAATTGTAGGTTTATCATCACTACGTAACATTTTATTTGATACAGGTATGGAAGAAACGAAATCTAAGTTCGATTTATGTCCATCAAATTTGTACTCTCTTTCGGTTAATGGATTCGAATGGTTGATTAAACCAGACTGAGATAGATCGATTGAACTACATCTAACAACGGATGGATGGATAGAGGACCTTTCATTAACACGCCTTGTTTCTGATATTTTAGATTGAACCATAAATCCATGGTCAGGCATAAGACTCGAATTTTCAAATCCTCGAACTTTCGTAACAAAAAAAGGAAAGATGTAAAAAAAGAGGTATGTTAAATGACTTCATGATTGATGCCATTCAATTATCCTTTGGCAGTAAATATATAATTAATTCTATTCTTTAAAGTGTACCAACGCTAAGTACTCGATCTCATATATTTAAGATGACGTTGACATCTCGATTTTTTAATCAATTTAGTTACCTAAGTATAGATATTTTTTAAACACTGACTACAACGAGCAATAAACAAAAAACATTCTGTTCTTTTATCCGGCCTGCACAAATACAGAGATAAAAGGCCAAACCATTGACTAAGAGACTCATAAAATCCACATGCGGACAACAAATGTAGGCTTTCTGTGTATGAACACTTTCAGTGTTATTGGAAATAAGGTAACAAATTAACATACAGGTAAACAAACACGGTGATTGTGATGTTAAAAGTAATAAAATATGGGGGACGGCATGAATCAAGCAACATAATCGAAAGAGAGTTCAGTTAATAACCTAGAGACCATTAGTTAAGACTGTATGATGACCTAGATCTTTGCTCAAGCTTAATCACTATCGATGTATTATAAATTCGACTATCTAATGAGAAAGTAAACCCAATAAGTTACTTCCGTGAGGCCTAAACATTTTTAACACCTTTTCTTTCTCGATCGAATTTGTGTTTCCTATGGATATAAACCACGAGTGTTAGATTATCTTTGATAAGTTTTTTACAATGAGGTTTCATTAAATTATCTGCAGTGGGATAACTAATATACAGTTATTTAGATCCCTTTGTTATTCATTATGCTAATTCCATTTCATTGTGTTGACGTAGTTTGGCATCTCGGGCAAACGCCTATTAATGCTAGGCTCTACACTGATTATGATTGACTGACTGGTTTATATATATGTTACATTATGTAATAAACCCAAGACTAGAAACAAGTAAAGATATCATAAAAAAGGAAAGTTATGGGAAAGATTTGAAACATGGAAAGCAAATCACAGTTACCTGAGGTACTACTGGGCAGAACTGAAATAGAAAATCGAGTACGTTTTTCGACCCCACGTGACAGTGAACTACATGCCACATATTGTGTTGTGCGATCATTGACATTACTCCGTGAATTGCTGAAACTATGTTTAGGGGAAGCTGGTGGTGAAAATGAATAAATATGTGACGATGAGTTGATTGAAGGACCAGAGACTGAAGTAGGATGGGATGTTCCTTGATTTAACTGTAAGTCACTCACGTTTTTGTTTTGTAGTGATTCATTCACAGATGTTGCTGTTTCTAAACGTCGTCCAAGAGCACAAGCACTGCTAGCTAAACTTGTGCACCCACTTGGATCAGAGTTTTGTGAGGTAGCTTCATCACTGGAACGCTGACCAGTCAAAAAGTGATTGTGAGAAAAGCTGATGGATGAGTGCTTTTTGTTACTTATATTATTGGTAACATCGCCCAGTGGAGAACAATGAGATTCACATAAATTACATTGTCCATCTCCTGTACTAAAATATTAAACAGTATAATAGCTTTAAATAAATGTGATCTCATGATAGACACATAATATTCAGATGCTCGGTAATTGAAGATTGTTAAAACGACTTGAACTACACAATTTGTTGTAACAGCAAAATAGTGAACGTGAATAAATTTCAGTCGAACTTGCATTATACTCCTAATAACTTTCTCTGCCCAACCCCCCACTCCCGCAGGGAGTTAAGAAGCAAAGTAACATGTTTTGTTACCGTTTCAATCAACAATGATACAAAGTAGGTACTAACTTTCATGCTCCATAGTCGCAGAACTTATATTTTAATATACAATACACTAAGCCAAACGCTAAACTGAGGTACGAACAGTCAAGGACATTGCAATCAAAATAATGAACAGGAAGAAATTGGTGTACTCCCTAAATCTTACGTGGTCTTACGAAAGTTCGGGATTTGCATAATTCAGCTGTGAAGTGATCCCCTAAGGTGTGAATGAATAACTGTAGTGTTTTCTCTAATTGACTTTATGACTACTTGGTTGGGGTCTATGTGATTATCGTAACCAGTGGTTAGAGACTGTGACATGGCTCAGAATCGATCACAATGACGTAGGTGTATACACTCTTTGTCTTCGCTTAAACTGCGAGATTAAAATTACTTTACACCTTTTTTCTACGAATTAATTCTTTCTCCTTGCATCATATCTTTATATGCAACCATTTTTTATACATCACTACCATTGAACTGCTTCTATGAATTTGATGTTCATCTTATTGTGCTAATGAGGTATGGCAACTTGGAACGATGCATATATGATTGACTGAATGATTTTAGGATCTTGAAGGATCTCTTCGCTAGTTCCAACCTATTTTAATAAATATTTATGTTGGAAGTAACGACGGGAGCTTAAAAAATGTATAGCTGGGTTGCCAAATCGGTGCGTCGTTGCTTGAGCTAAAGAACTAATTGCTAATTAAATGTTAATTTTACTTCAATTGTTGACATTATGTTCGTTCAACCACCAAGTGAATGAAACATACTCACTAAAATTTAATACGTAGCTAGGTCTCCTCAATTCGACACAGTGGATTGTCTTGGATATGCTCAGAAGTAGGTGGGTAACTTACTTGACATTCCCAATGACATGAATTTCACTGATAGAATCATATTGGTCAAAACGTGGATGACTTGATCTACCACACCCAGTACTTACACTACTAGGAACAAAATAACAGGCAGTTTGGTTGGTGTCCTTCATAACAAATTTTCTGACTACATTTGAGTAAGCATAACTCGTTGTAACACTTGCATCATCACCATGCGAACTTGTAGATTCGTCCACTGGATGATCAATTTTATTTTTACCCATTCTTACTTTCCGTGACCAACCGATTTGATTTTCAGAAGGCATCTTCTGATGGTGAGAGCAATGATATGAATATAAATTGAATAAATAGACAAATTCTGAATTTTCATCATTGGATTTAACGTTTTTCCCTGATAGACTTGGATTTTCAACTCCGGCATTGTCAATATTAATGTCTTGGGAATGACTAGAATAGTTATATTTTCCATTAAACAAACGATTTAATGAACGATTGCGTCGCCTTTGTGGTGATGGTGTATTACTGTTCGACCTTTTAATTTCTCGAGTTAGAGTTTTAGTAGTATTATTTTCTGATATATCAACCAAAACAGCAGACATAACGTTCGTGTCTGAAAGAATATAAAATACATCGAAATCCTCATGTAAGATCCACCCATATTCCAAAGTTATCCTTCCCTGGTTAAAAAACCATAAACACAGATTAAAAAGACTACATGAAACACGCTGTTGGGGCACCATAACCATCTTTCAATACAAATTTGTGAAACGTTGCAAATCTACACAACCAAACCTTTCAAATACTATGAAGATTTTCACCATACACATCTGCTGCACCTTAATACCTCCTTAATCGAACTTTAATCCAAAAAGTATATAACGGTTATTACTACATCTATGCAGATATTTTTGCTCGCTTTCTAGCAATTTAACAACCCATCTGATCGTCAAAACTGAAACTTAAACGTGCCCAAATGGGTGAGTTTTTAAATAACTGTGTTCAGTCATTGGAAACAAAAAACACATCGTGAATTATAATTTGAATAACCGGATGAATATGTCTGGTACATAGGAACCACTGAACAATGAATTGAAAACACCTACCTCTCTTTACCTCGCTCCATCTAATAATATAAGGAAAGGCATCCTAAACTGACAAAAAAATTTATTAGACCCATAAAATATAACTAAGCATGTAGTTACAGGATACATACATATTTACATCGCTCATACACATACAATGACCAGACAGTGAAATAAAACAATAATTACTCAATAAAAAATATGTACATCAGAAGTGGAGATGAAAAATCTGGATATCTCACAACATCATGAAGCAGTAGCATCTAATATAATTTTCTATTCTATACAAGTCTATTTATTCATTTAAACATAAACCTTGGTACAAGAAAGCACAGAATAAATATGCGCCACATAAATCATTTGATTTATGTGAGGGCTTGGATACTACCCGGATGCCCAAACTGAAGCAGCTGCTTTCCCTAGGAGGCCACATCCTCAGCCTTTTATTTAAAGGTCTAATCCACAAGGCAGGAGAGCAACGTAAGGACATGCAGTCTAGTAGTGGCCGGTGACCAATAATTGGTTTATACACCGTTTGTTCCCTCGGAATCCCAGAGCCCACCTACACCATTCGTTTGGAATCAGGGTTTTTCAACTCCCTAGGTGAACTCTCCGTGGCCACCGACCCGGTTAAAGCACCAGACATTCGCTTGCCGTTCTCTTAATTTCGTAAACAACACTCCCGCCGCGAGAAGGCAGTGAGTAGGGCTACTCTGACAGTAGCTGTATACGTGTGGCCACGTGAGAGCGTTTCGAGAAGGAGAGCTTACTCTCCCCATTCTCGGCCGTACCAGGGATAGGCGGCTGATCGAATTATATAGATCAATTTACAGTGTAGTCCGAGTCTAATAGGGAATACCAGTTCCCACGAGATTGCTGGTACGCCTTGCTGATGAGTGCTAACTAGCAAAAGACCTAGATCCAGGTTTTGCCCCGACTAACTCCTACCAACTAATGTATCAAAAATCGTCATCAAATAGTATATTTATGAATTAGCAAACAAAGAACATAAAAATCGACCTAGAAGAAAATACCTGAGCTTGATGCGTCACCAAATGAAGCATTATCCACAGATAGTTCTACTTCCACAGTAGCACCCGGAACATTATGCGGTAAACCATCAATTATTTTGAGGAATGGGTGGGAGTTCGACTTTGTTTGTAAGAATATACGAATACACCCAACCTATAACCAAGACATATAGTGATCATGAGATTAAGTCTGGGAAACAGGAGTGAAATTTTCTTTATTTATTAATTATAAATTTAATGGTCAAAGCATGTTCAGTCGGTTGTACGTAATGTAGAACCTGCCACAAATATTCATCCGTTCAAGTTGCCACACTACATTAGTAGAGAGATAAAATGATCAAGACAAATCCTAAAGTAGAAGTGTTAACAGTATCAGTAGTAGTGGAAAAGATTAAATATAGACATAAAAGTATCAAGAGATCTCGAAGTTTGGGATCTATGGGAAGATAAAAAGTGAATGCACCAACGCCATTGAGAACGATAATGACCCAAGCCGACCAAATTCTCTAACCACTGGTTGCAATGATCGTGCGGACCGCATGATCTATCTATCTACATAACTCAGTCCAACGGTCTATCACTTGATAGATTGGTGCTGCCAGCAAATATTGCAAAACCATCATCATTGTAGAGAATTCCCGGCTTATAGCTTGATGCTATTTTACTGAAAGGTGATCATAGTGTCCGTGATTATTTTTTGTTTGAGTTAGTTTGATGTATTAACCCCCAAATGCCCTGGTACGGCCGAGAGTGGGGAGAGTCCGCTCTCCCTCTCGAAATGCTTTCACATGGCCACGCGTATAAAGCCTCTGCCAGGGAAGTCCTACTCACTGCCTTCACGTGGCGGGGGTGTTGTTTACGAAAATGAGAGGACGGAAAGCGAATGTCCGGCGCTTTAACCGGATCCCAAACCAATGGTGCACATGGGCTCCAGTATCCTGAAGGAACAAATGGCGAATGAACCAATCGTTGGTCACCGGCTACCATGGGACTGCATCTCCTCACGATGCTCCACTGCCTTGTGGGTCAGACGTTCAGGTCGAAGGCTCGAGGTGTGGCCCCCTAAGAAAACCACCTGCTTCGGTTTGGACACCCGGGCAGTATCACAGCCCTCACACAAATCAATTGAGATTCGTGTGGCGCATATGTATTTGGTGCCTCCTTGTACCAATACCTATGTGTTAAAATAAAATAAATAAAAATAATTAACCTTCCACTGAGTGCTCCTGAACTCAATTCAGCTGGAGAGTAGTCCTCATGCCTCTATGCGCAAAATAAGTCGTGATAAACACTCCACGTGTTACAAAGATCAGCTGTTATTGACCGGTGAATGCTTAGTTGGATGATCAAACTAAGTCAGTCTACACCGGCTAAGAGGTGGACCCTTAACATATACGGTTAAATATTGCCATCAAGTAGTTTTACAATCAGTCAGTCATCCACAACGTAGGACCAGGGACGTATATGCATTCGTTCAAGTTGCACAAGATGAACACCAAATTCATAAAAGCAGTTACTTCAATGGTAGCAATTATATATATATATATATATATATATATATATATATATATATATATAGGGAGATCTAGACTTTCTGAAGAAATCTAAAACTTTTTCTTCACCTGGTGAAAGCTTTCAGTATTCGAGATGGTGTCAAAACGAGAATAAATAACTCCCAGAATTTGCAGTCGTATATTTCACGAATATCTCGTAGTCTTGATATTATTTAATTTCAAACGGTTATATGTCATGTCTATTTTTAATCACATCTGCTTTGTTGTACACATCTGTACGAAATGAAGCATTTTACTACATAAAACAACAAACCCGTGTAGTCGCCGTTGTCATCAGTATTTTCTACTATCACTTGGCTCAGAAACTGTTGGTTAAAAAATACGCCATTAGCAATAACCTTGCGAAAAAAGGATAGATATATGAAACTTTTGGGCGCAATTGTGGGTCTGAATAAATGAAGCATCAAGCTGAAGACTAAACAAATAATAGGTAGTCAAAGTTAGCATATATCTAAGGAGGCAATAAATTGTGACGCCGAATTTTGACACATTATACCCAGGGTACATGAGTTAACAGCCCTGAATAGGGTCCCAAATACTTACTAAAATATTCAGATCATTAGGCGTTATTGAGACGACATCACAACTACATGAATCCTTTGAAACACAGTCATCTGACTCAGGATGCTGAATTTCATTTTTCCCAACTAACAAATTTTCAGAGCATTTTTCAAACAAACTATTCGGGAAGGCCATAGAATCAGCAGCACCAAGTATAAATTGAGCAAATCCTTGAAGCTGACCATATTCTATTTTTGTACATTCATTATGGATAATTGCCGAATCGTTTTGATTAATTTCACTGGCAGTTAATGAGTAATTTTCGCCCTCGATAACTATGGAAGAAATAACCTAAAAGCAGTAAAATAGGATTGGAAATAAAATACTTCAATATTGGATAGACCTGAAAACCTTTTGAAAATATTTTGAATAATTTGTCTATAACAACCTATAACATCCAAAAACATGAAAACGAATAATACACATATGGACAAACAATACATATTGCGTGTGGATTTTAGGGAACCATACACTAAAAGAAAGTTAGCAGTAACAGCCAATAGCAGAACACACCGGAAACTTAATGCAATATTTTCACTAAAATACGTAGCCGCCACAGTTAAACTGTTGAATAAAAGTGGAATTTCATGATATGAACAGGCAATGAACACAAAAATATGAAACTATGGATTTTACACGATGGGCATCAGATTCCGACTCCGATTTTTGCAGCAGGATAGTACAGTGAGACCATAGTGAAATGCATGGCTAGAAGACAAGTACGTGAACCTTTATTCATTCAAAAACTAGCAGCAATATACATATTTTGGTTACTTGTAACATGTTATCTCTACGTCTATCCGTTTGAATACTCAAACATTTTAAACGAAAACCGTGAAAAACCGCGACAAAATTTACCTCGATCGTTTCCTTCAAAATTGTGAAAAATCTAGGAGACGATATGAGCTTCAGGTTGATGTTGTATAATGCGGGCTTTTCAAAAGCATATCCAATAAAGTCTTTGAAAATAAACTCCACGCACGCACGCAGAACTTCTTTATGTGACAGGTTGGCAGTAGACCAAATACGACGCATATTACCCAGCAAAATAAGAACTGACTGAGGAAATAGCAGCATATTATCAGACAAGCTACTAATTATGGTATTGAGAAGTATAACTGTGAAAGCGCCCGATGAAACATTGCTGGCAAATTCAGCAGAATTTTTATCGCATTCAAGCATATTAATTGAAAGATTGGGGCTACTGTTTGTAAACCTGTGGAATACATTTTGTAAGACAGAACTTAAGAATGACAGAACATCTGGAGTACCAAAGATGAGTAAATGCACCAAGAGCATTAGCTCTGACTTGGAATACATTGCACACTTTACATTATGTAGGCACTGCTGCAAATAATGAGCAATTGTGAGCTGAACTAAGTTACTGGGAGAATTTACAGGGTTTGTACATATAGCTGAACACACTGAAGTAAATAACCTCTCAACTATTTGGGGACTGAACTTGTAGTAATGTAATAGTTCTGCAACAAACATAGGATCTTTCCTAAGTAATCTGAAGAACTCAATGTAGGAATTTTGAAGAGAACCAGTTGGTAACTCGAATTTTAATGTATTGAAGGAACAATATGGAAGTCTACCCATATCTTTAGATCCATTGAGTCTCAATGTATAAAAGATAATTTTGGCTCTTAGATTGTGATAAAACCAACTCAATTTATGTAGGTTATCGTAACTTCTATTTAGTTCCAATTTAATAGTTTTTGTTGCTTTCACATGACGATCATAAAAACTGTTTTCTTCATAAATGTCCACAATAATCGAGACAAGATCATCACACAAACTCCTAAACATGCTATATCTCCACACAAGTATCAAAACATTCTGACCTCAGGCGGTAACGCTTTAAACTTGAAAGCTTGCGCTCTTCAGTTTGAGCAGAACATCAATGCTATTGGTATATTCATTTGGAACTGAAATCAAATTCTCTCGTGCCAAAGGAATAATATGACTGTTTCAACAGATTGGAGTTATATTTATATTTAACATTATATGTCACTATGAATGCCACCTTTTGACTGTCTAAAGCAGACCCTGGCAGTCTCCGAAGTTACGTCAGCTACCTCCGTGCTTGTTCCCTGTTCGATTATTCTGTAACTGCTTTTTAGGTTAAGAAAAAGACATTGCCCAGGAATTAGCTCCTCAGTGTTCAACAGAACTTTTATTTCTTGATTTAAGTGCTTCCGGAAGAACGTATAGAAGGTCGTTGAAAGTCAGTCCCAACAAGTGTAGCGATGAAAATAAATAATGATGATGATTCATATCACTGGGCAACAAGTGGAATAGCATGACCTAAAGTGATGGATTATAAAAATCTCGAAGTCAGTAAGCAACGGCTTCAAAGCTACTCCTGAAAGGCTGTGCTACGCAATCCGACTAACCTAATTAATTGTTCCAGCCTTCAACGTTGATGACCTTCTCTTAGTGTTGCACATTGAAAAAGAATCTTCTCAGTGATTATACACTCAGTCTAAAAGACCGTGTGCTTAGGGACCAGCAACACAACACTGCCTTCCCGCCAGAATCAATGCAAAGTTGGTTCGACACCTTGTCGAGTGGGATTGTCGTGCACCGGAGGTTACCAAAAGAATAAAAAAATCCTCCAGCATCGATATACTGAAGGATAAATAAAAGGTGCTAGCAACTGACCGGGAAATACACGTTATAGTTTCAAAATGTTCGGTTTACTTCTTAACACGCGAAGTAGAAATCCACGTGAAGACCATTCAAGAATCAAACAAAGTGGGATGTTTTGGCACAGTGATATTTTGACAAGTCACATTAAGATGAATGGCCATACTCTTTAGTTAATAGCCTAACATGTGGTCAGCATAAGTGTTTTGTGCTTAGAAATATAGAAATGACTAATACTGTATTAATATTGATATTGACATTATATATGGTTGAAATCAGAAAATAAATTAATGTTCATGTCGGTGTGCTGTCCTTTTGAGTGAATTATCGACTGATTTGCATTAGTAGGCTAACTGAAAGAAAAAAGTATAACCGCGGGGAGGAAGAATTTCATGTAGCGTTCCAGTTAGTATGTCAAGTTTAATACGATTTATTTAGCTGTGCGGGATTTTCTCGACCTCATTATTGTTAAACCGTGAAAGGATGTGATAAAACTAATAGTATATATGAATGGTTATCAAAAACATTTAAGACGCAGAAAGTAGTGATCATATGAATTTCGGACAGATAGCTGGTTGTAATTTTCTAAATACGGTTGAGTCCATGAGAGACATGCTTTAGATTAAATGTTTTGATGTACAATAAACGGATTATTTATATGCATATTTACCGGCTCATGGTGCATACAAGTTAGTTGCAAGTATGAACTTATAGATAATAGTGACTCGATGAAGTGCGTACCGACAGGTATTTATTTCCTTTTTAAGATTAGCAATGTAGTTCCTTATGAATTGCTCCCAACTGTCTTTAAGGCAACTTTCCTCTGTTATCGAACTGGCTGTGAGCGGACTGATAAAACGGTGGGTCAAGACGAATATTTTAAAACGATGATATTTTAAAGTTCAGCTGCAGTTCTAGAGCTAGCATTCTGAACTAATTGAGGTGAGTAATATTCCTACGTCCAACGGTTATTTCTATCATTTTTAACAATTTGATGCATCGTCCACAAAAAATTAAAATACGCTGTTACTTACTTTCGCCTGTTATTCCTCGCGAAGGAGCATAGGCCGCTCACCAGCATTCTCCATTCAACCCTGTTCTGGGCAATCCTTTCAAGCTCTTTCCAGTTCTTATTCATCCCTTTCATATCCGCTTCTATTTCCCAACGTAATGTGTTCTTTGGCCTTCCTCTTTTCCGCTTCCCTTCAGGATTCCAAGTTAGCGCTTGTCTCGTAATGCAGTTTGATGATTTCCTCAATGTATGTCCTATCCATTTCCATCGTCTTTTCCTAATTTCCTCTTCAGCTGGAAGCTTGTTGGTTCTCTCCCACAAAAGGCTGTTGCTGATTGTGTCCGGCCAATGGATGTTGAGTATCATGCGTAGACAGCTATTAATAAATACCTGTACCTTCTTGATGGTGGTTGTTGTAGTTCTCCAAGTTTCAGCTCCGCACAGTAGAACTGCCTTGACGTTCGTATTGAAGATTCTGACTTTGATATTGGTTGAAAGTTGTTTTGAGTTCCATATGTTCTTCAGTTGAAGGAATGCCGCTCTAGCTTTGCCAATCCTCGCCTTGACGTCTGCATCTGAGCCTCCTTGTTTATCGACGAGGCTTCCCAGGTATGTGAAGGATTCTACAACTTCCAGAGTTTCGCTATCAAGAGTGGTTGGATTGCTGTTCTCCGTGTTGTGTTTGAGGACCTTGGTTTTTCCCATGTGTGTTTTGAGGCTTACTGATGCAGAGACTGCTGCTATGCTGGCTGTCTTTGTCTGCATTTGTTCGTGTGTATTGGATAGGAGGGCTAGGTCATCTTTGAAGTCCAGATCGTCTAATTGGTTCTGAGCTGTCCATTGTATACCGTGTTTTCCCTCCGATGTCGAGGTCTTCATAATCCAGTCGACCGCCAGAAGAAAGAGGAAGGGGGAGAGTAGACAGCCTTGTCTTACTCCGGTCGTTACTCGGAATGCATCTGTCAGCTGTCCTCCATGCACTACTTTGCACTGTAGTCCGTCGTATGAGTTCCGGATAATATTGACAATATTCTCAGGAACTCCATAGTGTCGAAGAAATTTCCATAACGTTCTCCTATCTACACTGTCAAGTGCCTTCTCATAATCAATGAGGTTGATGTACAGTGACGAGTTTCACTCAATTGATTGTTCGACGATGATCCGTAGTGTCTGTGCACGACCGGACCTTACGGAATCCAGCATGTTGATCTCGAAGTTGAGCGTCTACTGTGTCTTTCATCCTGTTCAGTAACACTCTGTTAAAGACTTATCCTGGTACTGACAGTAGTGTAATGCCTCTGTAGTTTTCACACTTGCTCAGGTTTTTTTCTCCGGAATCTTGATGAGGTGTCCTTCCTTCCAGTTCATCGGCACTTTTTCCTCCTCCAAAAGTCTTCCTGAATAGGAGATGAAGTATGTTCGTAGTTACTTTGATGTCTGACTTCCGTGCTTCAGCTGGTATATTGTCGGGTCCTGCTGCCTTCCCGCTCTTGATTTGTCTGATGGCCATCCTGATTTCTTCCATCATTGGTGGATTGACATCTATAGGAAGATCTGTGTGTGCTGCTTCGATGTCCGGTGGATTCATTGGCACCGGTCTATTCAGGTGTTCCTCGAATTACACTTCCCATTTGTTCCGCTGTTGTTGAGTCTCAGTGATTGGCCTGCCTTCTCTATCTTTGACTGGTCTCTCTGGTTTACTATATTTCCCTGCTAGTTTCTTCCTTGTATCGTAAAGCTGTTTCATATTTCCTTCTCTTGCAGCTTTCTCCACCGTCGTTGCTAGTTCTGCTTGTCGGCTCTAATGCTCTTCTTCACTTGCTTGTTTGTTTTCATGTATTCAGCTTGTGCTTTGATTTTCTCTGCTCGTGTTCCACTATTATAAATTGCTGTCTTCTTGTTCTTCCTTCCTTTAATCCTGTCCAGTGTTTCTATAGAGATCCATTCCTTGTGATGATGCTTCTTGGGGCCCAGAACCTCTTGACACGTTGAAGTTAATGTTTCTTTGATACCTTTTCAGTTATCCTCCATAGTAGTTTCTTCTTCCTTCAGTAGATCCTGTAGGACTTTGTACCTGTTGTTGAGAGCTATCTTGAATTCATTGAGTTTGTCAGTATCTCGAAGGAAGGCTGTATTGAACCTTTGTGATGCTGTTTGTCCAGTTGTCTAGTTCTTCTTTAGCTTCAGTATTAAATCGGCCACAACCAGGTGATGATCTGAAGCTACATCCGCTCCTCTCCTGATTCTCACATCTTCCATTGTTCTTCGGAACTTTTTATTGATGCAGATATGATCTACCTGATTCTCTGTGGTGTGGTCCGGTGAGATCAATGTAGCTTTGTGTATACGTTTGTGTGGAAATGTTGTACCGCCTATGACCAATTCGTTGAATGCACACAGATTTACAAATCTTTCCCCGTTTTTGTTCCTCTCTCCCAGTTCATTTAGTCCCATGATCTCTTCATATCCGGTGTTGTCTATTCCGACTTTGGGTTTGGATCTCCCATCAGAATGGCGAGGTTCTTTCTTGAGCACTTCTCTATGATTGATTGCAGCCTCTCATAGAATTGATCTTGAACTTCGTCGTTGGTATCATTGGTGTGTGCATAACATTGAATAATGTTCATTGTGATCCCCTCCTTCTTTGTTTTGAATGATGCTTTGATGATTCTGGATCCGTGAGATTCCCATCCTACAAGTGCATTTCGTGCTATTTTGGATAGCATTAGAGCCACTCCCTGAGTTTATGGGACATTTTCCCCTTAGTATTTAGCTTTTGTTGTCCAGCTTGGGTCCAATGGGTTTCACTGATTCCGAGTACTGCCAAGTTGTATCTCCTCATTTCCGTTGCTATTTGACTGGTCTTCCCGGTCTCCCACATTGTCTGGACGTTCCATGTACCTATAAAAATTGTTGCTCTGGTTGTTAGAAGTGGCTGTACGTATGCTGTATGTACCTGAAAATTTCCAAAACGCTCATCTCACTCTACTTTCTGCAAGTTGCACTATTTCGGGAATTCGTATTCACATCAACGTTGCGATGGGGCCAATTTCTGAACAGTTGGACACACATTTTAATTCTAAAGCTCTCGAAGATTACATGAAAAGGTTTGAAAACAAGAGTATGAACGAAAAAGATGTCAGTGATGATGAAGTTGTGGCTTAATTCTTCACACTTATCTAAAAGAATGCCTAATGTATGCTGAAAACTTCGATATTTTCAGATAAGC